ACCTCAAGGGAGGCAGTGAGGAGGATGGTGCTGGTGTCTTTTCACTGGTGGCCACCAATAACTAGAGGAAATGGCCACAAACTAAAGCATCAAAAGTTCCGTAGGAACTTAAGGAAAAATTTCTTAACAGTGAGGATGACAGCGCTGGAACAGGTTGCCAAGAAAGGTTGTGGAGTCTCCGTCTCTGGAGATCTTCAAACCCCCCTTGGACGCAGTCCTGTGCCACGTGCTCTAGGTGACCCTGCATGTGCAGGGGGATTGGACTAGATGACCTTTAAATGTCCCTTCCAACCGTAAGCATTCTATGATTCTGTAACCAAAGTGGTTATAATCAGGGCTTCAGAGGTGATCAGATAAGCAGCAAATATAAGGGTATGTAGGTTAAGCTGTGGTGAACAGACCTCAATCCTATTAATGAGACAGGGACTATTAAGTGGTAATGGCTTTGTAATGTCTTCCACGTGGGTGAAAAGCAACACTCCTGCAAGAGGTGAAAGGATGGACATTATGATAAAGGATGACAATTCTGGCCAACTGTACTCTAAACATAGAGAGAGGATCTGCCCCCTTTGGGCAGAACAGATGAGTCCCAAAACTTTTCCCCTGGAGGCAGCTTCTGTGTTAACTCCTTGATCTGGCCTTTGACCTGGGCAAGCCCAGGGGACTGTCTCCACAGGTTGTCTGCACAGAAGCTAGTGAAGAACTACAGGTTCATTCAGGGGAACCTTCTCCTATTCATATTGTGTTATGAAAGAAGATGACCAGAACATTTTTTTTCTGTCTGTGTGTGCATGTCTGTGTGTGTGTGTGTGTGTATGTGAGTGAAATTTAAATTATTAAATTGTGTCATGTTTTAATTTTCTATGGAGATCATAGGAGGGGTAGCTGGAATGCATCCAAATCACAGCAGCATGGCTCACCTCAGACAGTGTATCGATGCTGCCTTTTCCTTAAATGTTCTATTCGCTAGTCTCAGTCTCAGTTCAGCTGGAGATCAACCTGCTAACAGAGGACTCTACTGCGTGGCTACTGCTCTGACTGCCTCTGTGAGGTTGTAGCTATTCTTAATTTCCATAAAAAGCCTAGACCTTGGGTCTAGAGGGAGCAGAGAGGATGGGGCAGACTCTTCTCAGCGGGACTCAAGCGGTATCCGGCTTTGGGTTGGAGCAGAAGATCTCCAGATAACTCTTCCAACCTCAACTCTTCTGTGATTCTCTGACTTTCAGTGTTCTCTATGTGACTAAGAAGTATTTCAAATGAAGGGTTTACATGGTTTTAAACCCTTGGTATTAAAGGCTAGATTTACTACTGGTTCTGAATACAGGGATGTCTTACCTACGTGGGAAGGAATGCTTGTCTCCCAAGTTTTTCTTTAAAATTCTTTAAATTCTTTAAAATTCTTTAAAATTATTTTCTGTGTTAGAAATATCTATCGGCATGTGTTTCATGCCCTGCAAATATGTGACTTTAAAAAAATCTGATTTGCTTATTCATTAAAAAAAATCTTATTTCTCCTTAGAGCTCTGATTAAGTACTTCTTTGTGCTATGCAGCTCTGTCTAGATATTAGCTCCAGGGATCAGCATTATAGAGTAAGAATCTTCTGCAGCTTTACATTTTGATTGTAGTTAACAATTTAAAACAAAAAAAAAATCAAAATACTAGTAGAACTCTCTGTTAAAAAACTTCAGTTTAATGAATTGATATCTTCTATTTAATGAAGTGAGAAAAGGGGAAGTATTTTTCTCAAAAGAATACATTTTTTTTCCTGCTAATCATACCTCTACTAACTGGCTGAACACTAACCAATTGAGGGCCTTTTGTTTTCTTCCAGAGACTGCATCCATCTCTTCACAGCTTCTTCTCATAGGGATTTATGCTGCCCCATACCTGTGCACTCTGAGAATTGCCATAGCCCTCTGACATCTGAGCATTTTTGCTGAAGAGCAAGAATCACCCAGGTTTCCTGTAAGACACCAAACTCTAGATCTCTGCATTTGCTACTTATGCAAATGCCAACAAAGAGTAGTCTGTAACAGAGTTTAAGTATCTTTGCATATTTGAGTTCTAGCCTAGTCAATCTAGGAAAATAATTTACCTCTGTTTACCTGTGCACTCTTATAGGGAAGATCTGCCAAAAGCTGCTTCCTCTGAAAAGTATATTATTTGATTCAAAAATCCTGAAGTTTTGTTTGTTTGTCCATCTGTTTTTAATATTTCATCTGGGTTCTGAGCCTTTACCTTCATTATTCAAGCTTTTCCTCCTTGCCAAGTTGTGGATTTGGTTGTAATCATAAGATTGCAGGAACTGGGCCTTTAGAGAAACCACCAAATATCACGAGTTGAAGGAGCTGTCAACAGTCACTTCTTTCCTAAAGCCTATGAAACCACATTGCATATATGTGATCAGATCAGCAAAACCATTCAACCTTCTTCGTGCTTTTTCAGAATATGACAGGCATTTAACCATTTTTCCAAAAGTTCCTTGCTCCTTAGATTTTATTCCAGCCTGAAGTATAATTCAAATGAGATTCAAACACAAGTGTAGAACTTGAACAGCAAAGACAGCAACAACTGGGGGCACTCATTCTTGGATAGAGATGGTTTTTCTGAAGCATAGCACAAGCACATTTTACTTCTGCAAGGAAGTAAAAGACAAGGGGCCAGAAGAGAGGTTAGAGATGTAGATGGAAGTAACTAGGAAACACCAAAGAGCAACTGGTTTCAGTTCAGCAGCAACTGAAGTAACCTGTTTCTAGGAGTCCACATGGCACTGAGAGAAATGATGGAGCACTTGAGGGAATTTGTAAAACAGAAAGCACTTGATGCTACTGAGAACAGAGTTTCAGTTATAATCAGAAGATCTCTGCAGCTACAGCACTGCATGAGTGTCACAGTGACCAGAGAACTGGCATGAAATATGGAGGCTGAAAGGAACAAGCAAGGTATAGACAATGAACACTCATACCTTAGTTTGACGTGACTATATATATGTTTTCCTGACTGATGAATAGCTGCACTTATATTTGTGCTGTGATTATTTCCCACCTGCGCTTCAGGGAAGGTAGCAGATTTACCATTCTGCAAGTTCTGTTTTGCTTTGGGAAATGTGTTTTGATTGCAAGGGCGCTCATTTTCCCTGCACAGCCCTCAGTGGGTGCTCATGGCAGGTGCGGCAGCAGCGTGACTGAAGGAATGAGTTTGTATTGTCTTGCAAAAGAAAAAGCAGCCATAAGGACACTCAGTGGAAAAATTGCCAAAGGGATGAATTTCATGATCCATCCTCTTTTCTGTCTATTGCCACATTGTCACACAGTGAAATTGGCCAGAAAGACTTGATGAAAGGGAAGGAGACAGCAATCAACAAATGTTGGTTATTTAGTGTGAGTGTGGTGAGTTGGGAGGATGCTGAGGGAAACAGGCAGATTCGTGTTGAGACAAAATGCTTCATGTCTCTGTACTGGCACATGCCTAGCATTTCTTTTATACCTTAAGCAACAGTGATGATAATTTATCAGTATTTCTATTACAGCAGAGTTCACACAATAGACCAGCAGCCCACTGTCCTACACATAGTTCCAATGTACCAAAGAATGTCTCTGGCACACTGAGCTTGCTGTCTGAGAGATAAACAAGAGAAAGAAGCTGAGGACCTACCAATATTACAGGTTGAGAAGAAGACACAACGTGAAAGGTGAATAGAATAATTCTGTTTTCTTAGCAATATTTCAAAATCTGAGGGTTGAATTCTTCATGACTTTTTGTAGCTACAGGCATATTTTCTCTTCAGGTTCACGTGCTGCCAGCAGTTTATACCAGTGTTTGAAGAAGTATTTTGTGACTATGGGTTTATGCATCTTGGAAGGCACAGTTTTAAAGTAGCAAATTAGCTGGTTTGGTAGACAACACCTCACACCTTCGATTTGGGATTTGGAAGCAGATTAGCCTTCGCATCTTCACAGGAAAAACAATTTATGGATATGATTAAATTCAAGATGAATTAACCAAGTCTGAGACAAATGCTTCCAATGCCACGGTTCTTCAATTCTGTAGGACTAAAAAAAAATTGAACTATACCAGTGCCTGTCAAAAGCAGCAGGTACATGCACAGGGTAAGTAACTATTTTTATATTGCTCAACCATATCATGTGGAGAATGTAAAAAGGACATAATGTTTTAAGATCTCAAAATGAGGACTGATGGCCTTTTAATTTACAGAGAGAAACTAAAAAGACAAGACCATTTCTATGGAAATGCTGCTTGCAGTATGCAGATGTGTGTAATGAATAGAAGTTGGCTCTTTGAAAGTCCCCTGTCTTTCTAGAGCTAGTATGATTCAATTTTTACATTGTAAAAAGTAGTGTTTTGCTGCAATATCCCTGCATTTTTGTATGGGCCATTTAGAGTGGAAAGGTCTCTGGTTTTCATGCCAATCCTCACTCTCATGTATTTTTCACTTACTGCCTGCACTGCAAATATTGTTGGGATGTACGTGCCACGTGCTGTAATTATGTAGTTGATAAGATACTCGCTTACCTTAGCTGCCCAGTTATGAACTATTGAGGTAGTAATACTTGTGGAAGTAACATGTTTAATAAATAACAGACAAATTGTAGTGCTGATGGTCAATGGAAAATGTGTGTCTGATTTGAATCACTGCAGTCAGCAGGTATTTCCAAATGCATCATGGAGTGAACATGGACCAAAGTGGAGAGGGGCTTTCTTATGACTAAGGAAATCAACTTTATTTTGCTGAGAAATTGTAAAAAAAAAAGTCTACAACAATTACCTCAGGTCTTCCTTGTTATGCTAATTCAGCATAGCAATCAGTATTGCAACTGAACAAGGCAAAAATACTAGCTGGGATGTTAAATACATTTTTGCCATTGAAGACTTTTTTTTTTACCAAAATTTCTGAATTGATCTTAGCAACTGGGCTCAGTGCCTGGTCCATAATAGTAAATCTTCTCTCTTTCTGTGATTTCTATCACTTTCAGGCAAATGGAAGATTTAGAGACTAACTTAGTCCAGACACGCAAAGCACGTGGCATTGAACAAATGGTAGCAAAATGGCTCCATCGCTCTCGGAGTGGAGCATCCAGGTAATCATAATCGTTGTGAGTGAAACACCTATTAATCACCTTTGATCAGAGACAGCACAAACTTGCTTCCAGTGAACACAGGCAATCACAGGCTACTGATCTCAATCGTTCTTGTTCTTGAGAAATATATTTGTTGTAGTGCTGCATTCTCTAGAAAATTGTTTTTTTTTTAAGCAATCCCCTGAAGTTTCCAGTTGGCCAAATGTCCTTCTCTTGCAGATTGGGTTTTATTTCTCTTTGTGGCTTGCCATTGGTCAATGTTTTTAGAGCAAGACTCTGTTACACTTAAAAAGGGGAAGAGCATTGCTCATGGCTGGTTTCTTTTCCTAAGATCCATGTCCAAAAGTCTGCTGTTAACAACACATATTGCATTTAAAACCTAGGATACTTCCATTTGGTGTGGGCTATCTGTTGCTTGTTCTTGTGAATGCCAAAGGATTTGAGCTCTTTCAAGCACTGACTGGAATAATCAGCCTGAAGTGGCTGATTTAGCAGGTTAAACTATCCCACACTCTGCAAAGAACATGAATCTGTGTTGGTTATTTCCTGCCAGAATCACTATTTCAGTTTGATCACAGAAGATTTTTTCATACCATCTTTTGCTGCACAGTGCAATTGCTTTTTTATGCTTTCAAATCTCTAGTTTATTTGATTTGTCAAATGCTAAATTTGCTGATCCGTAGAGTGGACAAATACATTTTAAAATCTCCAGCAGACTCAAGCAGTACACTGTTAAATCAGAAAAAATATAATGGAAATTTTACTGGCAGTCAGCTGACAGACTTCAATCTACAAAGCCACCCATGTGTTTACCTCTTAATTTGTCATCTTAATTTGTCCCCATTGAAATTGACAGATGTTCTTTTAACTAACTTCTCAGCAATCCTTGCGTCTCAAGTCATGGATGGAAGAGCAGCACAGGACTAGTCTTTCTCCAGTGTATGGAAGCATCAGGCAAGATGGAAGTGCATTAGGAGTCAGGAAATGAGCCCTGTTGGGAAACATCTAACTTTTTCTGCATTTTTCAGCCATGGCCTCTTTCTTCTTGGGGGAGTGGCTTGGGAGCTACAGCTGTCATATGGAATTCTTCCTTGGGTTATCTAATGCCTCTCTCCCATGCAGACCTGAGACTGAAGAGGAAAGAGCTATTGGCATTGCTTAGGCTCATGAAGAGTAGGGGCCATCAGTCTTCAACTGAGAAGCTCCTACAGGAGAAGGCTGTGACACATGACTGTGCTTGAGCGCTACATGTAAAGCCCAGAGTGGGATTTGGAGGATTCTCCAAATTTCTTCTTTTTTTTTCTTGGTTCTGATGGAATTTGGATACAGCCTTGACGGAATTATCTACAGCCTTACCTATGCTTATTAACCTGAAGTATTAGTGTGTGTGGTACTATGAATGAGGTATTGTCCTCCAATCCTTCCAAAACTAAATCATGCTCAGGCACAGATGACAGTTTCCAGCAGCAAAGAGTCTACCAAAGGTGAGAAGTGATTCCCTGAAAATGTGAAGCCCACACAGCCTTGGACTAGATTCCAGAGGAGCTGAGAGCTGTGAGTTCTCTTGCTGCCTTTCAAGTACAAGAGCTACCCATACAGGTCAGGATTTGTTGCTGAGAAGGCCTGGAGTTCTCCCTGCATGCAACCCCTGGACTGAAGTGCCTGGGGAAATTGCAACTCCAGCTTGTCTTGGAACTAGTTGGTTAAATTGCCTTGACTTCTTAGGCATTCACTGGGGAGCACTGCAGACATGCTCAGTATTGATCTGCATGCAGATATACCAACAACTAATCTATCCTTGTATTGGCACAGCCAATTGAAAGGGAAGTGTAGGATTTCTGGAACTGTTTGAAGAGGTATTTCCTGCCTGAGTCTTAACTAATCACCAGCTTCTTGTCTCACAGGGGAAGAGGATCTGTGGCAGATATCCCCAGTGACAGCAGTGGCCAGCCTGCTAGCCGTGTCAAATTCGAAGTTACAATATACAAGGATTTGGTTCACCATCACTATGGCTTTGAGATTTGCCCAGACCTTCCCCTTACCATTGCGTCTGTCACTGCAGGTAGGGATCTTCTCTCTCTGTCTACAACAGCATATGTGTCAGCATATGTGGCCTGAGGTGTTCCAGATGGTATTTGTGATGGGCTTCACATGTTCATTTATGGCTCTCCCAGACCATGTGGAATGTGGTATTCAGCAGCTATGTGTTTCAGTTTCCCCATGCAGGTAAGGCTCCCTGTCCATATCTGCTGCATGTTTAGCAAAGCTGCCTCAGCATGTTCTCTCTTCTTTCACAATACTCTTTAGTGAAGTTTTATCTTTTTTTTTTCCCATTTGCCACATGCGAAATGTGTTACTAAATGAGCACAAAGTATGGGGATGTAATAAAAATGGTGAGGGACCCTTTTTGTTATCCTTTCTTTCCTAATCAGAAATTGTGAGTATTTTATTAAAACTGAGGTGCAGCAAAACCCTTTCTTTTAAGTCCTGGGATTTTTTTTTTTGTTTATATGATTTTTTTATTTGTTTTTGTGTTGCGATAGCTAAAGATTAAAAACCTTGTGTTCAATTCCAAGCATTTTTTTTTCTGAGTTCTGCATTTCACATATGTCACCTATGTTATGGTTTCCCTGAGTGACAGGTGCAAGTTTGATACTTGCCAAGTAAGAGTAAGTAATCTCTCTGTGAGAGTAATTAAATGCTCTGCCTCACTCACCAGGTAGGCAGTGGCAGATCTGCCTGTGGGTCAAATTCACAGAAATCTTTTTCTCAGAGCCAGAGCTTTTGTGGCTGCTCTTCTTCTAGATATCAAAGTTCTGAAACCTTCTTTCTCATTAGTTGTGTATTCTCATAGCAGTGCATGCTTTTAAGGAAACCTTCTCACTTCTATCAAGACTATAGGAAAAGTCTGAGTCACAAAGGGGAAGTTACTGTGACAGGAATCCAACCCACATGCTCCAAGATCTAGCATTGCTCCTTGATCTAGATCCTTAGTGCTTGCCAATAGCATCGTGCCTTTGCCTTTGTGTCTAATGTTTCACAGTGTGGTGAAACTTTGGGATCTCTCTGCTGGTGCAGAATGTGTAAAGGAGTGCCGTATTATCATAAGTGTCCAGGAGCTGAAGGGGCGTTCTTGGGCACAGGACTTGCAGGCAGCTCTGGAGAGCTAACTCTTCAGCTCTGAAGGACAAGGAATCAGCAAGGACAGAGGGGAAATTGAAAATCTGTATTGATCCTGTGCTGCCCTTCCCTCACTGTATAGGCACAGTCCACATATGTTTGGGAGCTTCAGCACCTTACCAACAGCTCTGGTCAGTAAGAACCCCACAGTAAAGCTGCAGCTTTGGTGGGGGCAGTCTTCCTTGTTTTGGGTACTCTCAGGGAAGAGGAGGGAAGCTGACTCTAGTTTGCCTATAGATTCATCTATATGATAAACAGAGCCAGAGAGCAATTATGCGCTTTATCTCTGATTCATCTATTCTGCTTAATTTTTATCATAGCTCCACTGCAGTTTTGACCCACTATAAGTTTGTCTCCCAACTAGTACTAACTACCTAGGTCTGGGGACATTATGGTCCAGGGACTGTCCTAACGAGCAGCTGGTTCATTCCAGAGCTTTCTGTGTTGACTTCAGACTATGACAACAGTGTGCAGATGGGCTACAACTGGGGAAGAAAATCATGTACAAAAAATAATTTCATGAGGTACAGAAGCACCACATGAAGCCAGAGGAGAGCCAAGGCTATGTGCATGGACACAGGCAACATGTACCAGCTCATTCCAGGGCCAGAAATCTGTATTTCACCATCTAGAGGAAGTTGCTGAGGCAAGCACAAGTCATGTGGTAACAGGATCTTTTCAGGTCATAGAGCAGCCATCTCAAATGGCAGGAGCTCTGTTTTCTGTATGTCTGTCATGACTAACCATATGCTGATCTCCAACAGGGAGCACAGCTGATGGAAAGCTGCTGCCAGGTGACCAGATCCTTCTGATAAACACTACAGCCGTGGAAGACACTTCTATTGAACATGCAGCTGATCTCATCAGGTATGGTCCTTTGAGAAACTAGAGTGCTATGACAGGGATGAGGTAGTGGAAGGAGAGAAAAGATGTAGGAGCAAAGTTTTCCCAGTGGTTGTGAAGGTATTTGACAGAGTGCAGTCCTAAGTACAGTTATGTGAAAAAAGTGTTATCACAAGGGAATATCTCCCCTTTCAACCTTAGGGTCCTGCCTAACCACAACCTTGCAGGCTAGGCTTAGGCCATTGAATATGCTGGCAACTGAGTGGCAGTTAAACAAATCCCACAGACAGAAGTTCACTGTGTAAATCAAATGGCACATGTAGTGTTCCTGAAATGCTGCTTGGTAGGTTGTAGGCTCTCACAGCAGGACCCATGTGTTTCTCTAGCATCTCAAAAGCAAAGCACTGTCTGTCAAGATGGTGTTCTGAATACTGGATATCATGGGTTGCATCCCACCCAACCACACTTCTTCCTTCATGGTGAAATCTGTTCTGCTTAAGGCCTTGTTAATGCCATCTACCAGAAAAAAATGGAAAGGAAGAATCAAGTGCTGCTTAGCTTGGCTGACTGCATCTTTCTCTATTACAGGGAGGCCGGAGATAAACTCCTCCTAACTGTTCTGCGCTGTGCATCGGTAATTTGGTTTTCTTGGGCATTATTATTAGTGCTGCTTCCTGTTCTATGGTCTTGGTCCAGCCGTTGTTAACAGAGCAATGTCCACCAAATGAAGGTCTGGAAGATGAGGATACAAGATCTCAGTATAAGACACGAGGGGTCAACCAAAGCCATCAAAGAGCTCTTGAATAACTGCAAAGGGCCCTCTGTCTTTGCAGATAATAAATTTATCTTTGGAGGGGCCTTGGGGGAAAATAACTGCACTGGCTTCCTCACAGCTCTTCTGGACACTGGGGCAAGAGCTGTTTGCAAAGTCCTGACTTGTGGCTGATACTGCTTCTGGTAAACAGACCCAGCTAGTAAACTGCAGCTAGTAAATTGCAGCTCTAAGCATCATGGTGCCCCTGCAGCCCTGGAAAGGTAGCCAGTACATGTATGAGTTGTGTTTCCACACCCGTCCATCCAGAGGTGGGGAGGTCTGTGGGCCTGAGAGTGTGTTGGGGCCAGAGCTGCTCCTCAGGAATGAGGAGGTTAAGGTCCGCATTGATAGTGGCTAACTTTCAAAAGCAAGCTGCCCTGAAGATTTGTACCTCGTTGCAGAAGCAGGTTCCCTTACGGAATTGCTGAGTATGTTCTCCACATGCTATTGGCCTGTCCAGGTCTACTGGGATACCCCTGCAGCAGGCTAGCTTCACTCTGAGGACGAGGAAGGGAATAGCCTAGGGTGCTGGTGCAGCATTCTCTGTAGCTGCTTGAAAGCTTTGAGGTTCGACTTCTTGAATTTCTCCCTTTTTTATATATGTATTCAATGAATCTGGGATCTAGCTGTGCTAGGCTGCTCACTACCCTGCTTCGTTGTCCTTGTGTGAGAGATGATCTACAAATACTTTCTCCCCGTACTCTTGCTCTTCTACCTCTCTCCCAGATCAACAAAATTGCTTGTCCTGGCTGCATTTTCCTCCCTCCACCCCACTGGGAAAAGAATCAAAGCTTTAACAGGAAACTTCAGAGCTGATTGGACAACCTCTCTAGCATAAGGATACTTGGAAGGGATCTTCTCCCAATATAATGTGTTTAGCCATATGTATTCCTATGGGTATTTAAGTTGAGCTGCAAAGCAAGGGCAAAATTGGGTCTGTGTGCTTTTTGGCTTCTTACAATGTATGGCCTGAGAAGGATTTTATTTTCCCCTATGGAAGTGTTTTGGGACAGTATCTCATTTGATTGTTTGCAGTTTTATTCTTAGAAACATAAAGAATGGTGGTTCTCCTTCAGGAGAGCTGATGAAGTTCAGGGGTGATGTCAGGAGGTTTCTTGTTCATTGAAGGTGTAGTAGGGATGTAAAACAACTCTTTAAAATAATCTTTTCCTGCCCAAACTATCCCAGGTGTTGAAATTCAATAGATGTGCACAAAGCCAAAGCAGGTTTATGCTTTAAGCAAACCCAGTAAATAGGGACTGCCCTTTGTTACTCTGACATCCCTGGTATAGTATGTCAAATACAAGTCTTGCCAGTGGTTGGTCTGGCTCTGGAAATTAAGATAAAAAAAAAAAGAGGTAGACAAGACCTGAATGTCAGCAAAATGGTTAAAAAAACAACAAAGAAAAGGGATTTGGAAAGCCCTTCACAGGCCTTTGTATATTTTTGAGAGGCAAATGGAGCACAAACCCATTTTTGTTTTTTCCTTTGCAGGTCACTTTAAGGACACCTCAAATACAGTCAAGGCTGATCTTGGGTTTAAGGTAGACTCTTGCCCCATTCTGAAGGCATCAGTGATTAGAGCTGAGAGGTAACACCTCCCATTGATGGATATCAAACCTTCTGCCAGAGCTGCTTTGGCTGATCTAGAAATGTTCCCCCAGGCTCTGGTCCTCCTCCTGAACAGCCTTAGGGATATAATGAAACCAGACTAGAGAATTATTTGCTGGCTGGGAATTCATGCCTGCTTTATTTCCCTGGTGCTTTCCAAAAAGTTTTAGAGCAAGATGGTTCTATGACAGGTTGAGTGGCACCGGAGCCTCTGGAATAGTGTAGGAATTGCTATCAAGGACTCAGTCATTTCTGGACTGTTGTGTGAATTTGGTGAGGCCTCCCTTAATGGTAAAGGTATGGTTATGTGAAAACAGTACTACAAAGTCAACCTGACCTTTTTGCCCTCCAAAAAAATTCTTAAATATTTGTAAGGTGATAGAATGCTCCAGAAACCCCTGCTGGACTGGAAACGGTTGCACACATTGATATGTTCATACAGGAGCTGGAGAGAGCTTTCCTGGTCCATGGCTTGCAGGCAGACTGCATACATTGGTCTGTAGTGTGCAGTCCCATTACAAACAAGCCATTGGTTGTTTAGCAGTGAGTCTTGCAGGATTTTTGTTTCATTGCAGGAACTGGGAAGATGGCCAGATGCTGCAAATAGTTAACACTGTTTAAGTGAAATGAGGAATGTGCACAAGTGCACAATATGTGTTATACCTGTGTCCATTTATTAAACATGTGGGCTTAGGTTCAGAAAACAGCAACTATTCAGATAACTCAGAGAACATGTAGCAGACCTGGATTTCACCAGAAAATAGGAGACTCTAACACCATCACCTGTTTCTCTCAGCGTGAGCCAGTGTGGTATGTGCAGCTTTGACATAGGTGGTGATCACATTATGCCTGAATCACAGGATTTTACCTCACGCATAAGTTGCAGCAAACTGAGCAGACAACACCATACTGTTGTTTTTTTCAGGGCGGGCCTAAATCATCATTTCTCACTGCAGAGAAGAGGGCAAAGTTAAAAACAAACCCTGTGAAAGTGCGGTTTGCAGAGGAGGTGCTGGTGAATGGACACTCACAGGTCAGTGGGGCACATTTGCTGGTGGGATGTTTGGGACCACATATCTGGGAGAAATAGGTCACCCCTTTGGAGAGATGCCTGACTGGGTTGGTATGGCTGGGACCTACAGCATAGTGACACCCTCACTGTATTTAGGGTTTCCTGAATATGTATCCAAGCATCCTGTCTTGACCTTCTTCCCAGGTTTCTTTTGTGATCAATGGGGAATCTCAAGAGGTCTTATTCCTTACCATGGGGTTTTTAATTTGATTTTTTTTTTCCTTAGACTAATAAAAAATACATCCAGATACTTCTTATGTCCTTTTGCCATCATATAATCTTTGCCCTAGCATTACCTAACTGTGCTACTGCTGCCGTGGCACAGAAGAGTCATCTTCTGTGATGCTGATCTTGTCATAGTAAGCCTAGATGGAAGTTTTTGTACAACAAATACTAACTCCTCACTCTAAAGATTAGCATTAGGATTAGGAAGAGGTGAATCGTGTTGTCCACGACGGGTTTATTTTCACTGCCAAAGTAGCAGAGGCATCTCCTCCTGGCCCTGGGCAATGCTGTGTTCAGGTCATTTGGTGCTAAGCAGTTTGCTCGGCTATTAAATTTGTCACAAGACATTTTCTAGATGATAGGATGACTTGGTGGTGCCTCATTGTGTTTCCTGTCCTTGCAGAGGACTACACAGCATATTCACAGCTGCTTGTATGATAGACTATCTGTAGTCCATCCTGGTGTCAAGCAAGAGCGTGGCTCACTGCAAGTTTATTGCAGGGTTTCTAGTACTGGTAACAGATAAACTGCTTGTGGGTCTGCCTTTGCCAGAAAAGTACAAGCAGTGGGAATACTTATCCTTATGTGGAAGAAATATTTTCCATTTATGTAGCTTACTAAGTAATTCAGTGTGAATTCAGGGACAGTGAATTCAGTGGGATGAGCTGGGAGTCTTCAACAATTTTTCCCTTTTCCCTTTCTGAATAAAGTTCAGTATCCAAACTTCCCCTGCCTCATCCTGTGCTTTTAAGTGCTGCTCAGTATTTGTTTGTGATCTGATTAAATTCTACTTCTTTGCATTTAGCAAGGTAATGAACCAGTCACTAGGCCCTTTCCTTCTTCTCTTCTAGGCTGTCCTATTCCAGCTATACTCAGCTTTCCTGACCTGGCTCAGGCAATGCAGTCCTCCATGGGATACATTTGATTGCCCTCCTCTTCTCATCCTGCAGAAAAACAGAGATGAAGCTGGAGATGCTCTGGATATCTCCAGCACTTTAGACAGGCAGAGTGTGAATGCTTTGACATCCATGTCTGACTCTAGGCATGTCAGAATCGCTCCTTCTTTTCTGGCACTCTTTCAAGAGTAGGAGAGGATTAGGTGTCACTTCTGTCACAGTTGCCGTTAAGCTTTCTAGACTCAAGGATCCTTTCCTCTCTGCCAGCTGTGCTAGTGCTGCTGCAAGGTTTTGCTCCATTTTGGAATGTGCTTACATCCCAATAATTTTAATGCAGGATAATCTTAATGCAGTCCTAGCTGAGTGCTGCTGTAGCAGGGCCACCCTTCTTGGCATAAAAGCCACATGCTGGACTTTTCGTATGGCTGGAAGATATGAGTTCACAGATCTCATACAGACAAGAAAGAACAAAAGAGAGCCCTGGAGTGGTTCATGGGCAGGGATGACTGTGAGAGGCTTCAGGTAAATCTGGTTTTGGCGTTAAGCCAGATCTGAAGTGCCGAAAATGCCAGCACTTCCTGGTTCTTGAGGGTTCACACTGGCTTCTCCTTGAAGTAGTTAGAGCTAAAGTTTAGGCACCAGTGTGCCTGAAAAAGGAAAGTGTGAAGGGGAAAACCCTGCTAATGCATGGAGGTCTCCAGCTTGTGCCATTCTACTGAGTACAAGGTAAGTCTCAACAGTTCCAACAGCTGGATCACTAAGAAGGGACTTCCAGATGGAAAGTTGTACTTTCCAACTGGAGAGGAAAGAGCCTCTATCAATATTCTGCTGAGCCATGTCATCAACTCCTTGCGAGTACAGAGGAGGAACAGTCTACCTAGTTTCATGTGCAGATAGTGAGATAGTTCTCTTACCTCTTCATGTGCAGAGGTAAGAGAAATACAATAAAGTGGATTCCTCCACAGATGGGATCCCACAGGTCTCACCTCCCTTTACACCAACTGGATACAGTCCCTGATTTGTACAGTAAAATATTAGAACAAAAAGAAGAGTAAGCGTATTTGTTGTGTATTCACTTCATCTTTCTGGAAAAGCAATATTCATCACAGACAGGTACTCTGTATGTGCATCCCTTCAGACACAGAGAAGATTGATGCATGAAAGCAAACAAAGTGAATATTGTGGCACTGAAAATTGCAGAGTCTCCTGTTTCAGTAAATGTACAACTCTTGTCATCTTAATGAAGCACTGCTAAATGAGCTCTGTGACCTTTGGAAAGAGCCAAAAAGCTGCATTCTACAGATGAAATCTGAAACTCCTGTTTGCGAGCATAAATTTTTGATGAGCCCAAATGCTATTAAGCCTCTGCTTTCTGGTCCAAACTTGGGTTATTGCCATATAGCTAAATGATATGCAGGAGACACATTCGTCAGGATCATCAGATCAACGTCAGGAACTGTGGACCAGCTCTAATCTGGTGTGATTCAACCTTGCATCAGACAAGACTGGAGCAGTATCGGTGATTAAGACATATCAGAAACTTTCAGAATTCATTCATAATAATCTATCGGAGCCTTCACCAAATGAATCAGGCTGTCAATTTGATCTGATCAGGAAAGTCGTGGTGTTAAATTTTGCTCTGTAACTTGAAAAAAAAATCTATATATTTAAAGTTCAGCTGTGTGCTGGCTGAACAAAACAAATGAGCTGTGTTCATATGATAACCTACTGGAGGTACCAAAGGCGATAAGCATCAGTTGTAAAAGAGCCTCACCACTCAATAACTGATGAAGGGCCTAAAGCTTGTCAAAGACATTATCTGTTTAGACTACTTAACATAAAGGCAGTGGAGTTTGAGTACAGCTATAGGGACAATGGTGGTTCATTTCTCTCGGTGAGGGAGGGAGGTAAGGAAAAAGGGAAAAAAGGCACAAGACTCAAATAGTACTCTTGTATTCTGTTCTAATACATCCAAGGCATGTGGGGTCTCCATCAATAGAGACCAAGGTCATGAGATTTGTAAGGTTTCACAGCAGGTGAAACATAGATAAAGCATGACATCATCTTAGAAATGCCACTCAGCCTTAAGATTGTCATGAAAGTAGAAAAAATGTTGTGTTGCTTCAAGCTCAGTTAAGGGAGACATGAATGACTATTTCAGAGTGGAGGAGTAAACACCTTTTCAGCATTGAGCAGGAATAAGAACAAGGCTGAAATAAACAAGAGGGAAGCCAGAAACAGCCTCTACTAAGAAAGAAGCAGGTGAGCTCACGGATGAAGTTCTAGGCACATGCAAAAGGAAAAAGGCCAAGTTCTCAGGTTCTCCTCTGATTGGGGACATCCAAGGAAGGTGGTTTCATTATGGTGGTCATTGCCTTTCCTAATGCTTTTGAGACATGCCTCAAGAAACTCTGGTGACATCATTTGTTACAAGAATCACAAATCTTAGGGGTATTCTCAAGAAAAGTACTCCTCCATACGTGTTCCCCTCATGTGCAAGGTCTGCTTATGGTAGCATGAAGGGCTTGCGTAGCTCTTCAGTGAAGACCCTGCTGCTGCTAGTGGATGTCAGTGTGAAGGTTGTATTGTCTGGTGCCCAGCAATGGGAAGGTTTATTTTCTGGAAGCCCTTACTGCTCTTCTGGAGGTGAGCAGGGATGATGGCTTGTGATAACATGCCATGTGGGAATTGGACAGTGGGCCGTGTACACTTATTGACCTGGCAGTGTTTTTTGTTTGAAATTAATTTATTATGGTCTCTTTCCTTTGTCTCATACCAAGTGCAGAATCATTGCGTAAAGCTAAATGCCCTGAATAAGGTTTTAACATCAGAGAAAGATTTGCATTTTTTTTCAAGATGTGTTGTGTCAAGTGGAGCAGTCTGACTTTCAGAGACCTCAGATCTGAGATTAATTAGGACTGTTGTTTTTGTTGCACAGGGGAATTCTCTTCTTTGCATGCCTAACGTCCTCAAGGTATACTTGGAAAATGGGCAAACGAAGGCTTTCAGGTTTGAGATGAGCACTACTGTGAAGGTAATGATGCTTTTTTTTTTTTTGTATTTGTTGCTATGATCTCTACAAAAGTGTACAAGCAGAAGAATTTACAAAGACTTGGTTATAGATCAGTCAGTGACATTTATGGCCATTTCTGCCTAGCAACACTCATGGAACCTGCAGGAACCTTCTTGTGAAACCATTACAACTTTGTGACGAGTAATTTGTGAAGAGTTTTGTGAAGAGCTTGTGAAACTGGACAACAGTACATCTTGGAAGGGGATAGGCAAACCAGCAGTGGCCCACACAAACGTTTATTTCCTAGGAAACTACAGTATGGCATATTCAGAAGCAGGTTGTTTAACATGGCGCTGACAGTGCGCACCCTTAAAGGGAGAACACATTTCCTGGCCTGCAATGTGGAGGGTAGAGCCCAGGTTTGGAGTGAATTCAACAAGTGCATTAGCACCAGTTGTTCTTTAAAGCGTCTTGTGTGCCACCCTCATTTCTGCATGAGGGAAAGCACGTCTTTCTGGGATATAAGAACGGAATAACCCATTGAGATGAAAAGCAATACCATCTCCTTACGATCAGTTGTGCTTGGATTCATCACAAAAAGCTACTACTATTCTCTTCAAAATATAAATTGCTGGTCTCCAGAGCAATTAATCTAGCACTTTCATAATTGTTGCATTTAGAAAAAGGCCCACAAGCTGTGAGGTTTTCTAGCCTAGTCTTCACAGCTGCTCAGTGTTTCTGTTGGAGTTGATTAGATTTGCTTGTGTATGGCAATTGGAGGCCATCATTTCTTTAAATATCTGCCATCCTGAAGTGATGCAGCTAGTATGAAAATGCAAGTGATGTACAGACACTCCGGAGTATAAAATGGAAATAGCATCAAGGAGGCAAAAAAAGGGGGGAGCTTACTTATAATCTATTGATAACTATCCTCAAAAAGTCCAGTTAATTTAAATTTCACAAAACTGTGATGGTCTTTCATGCAATTAAGTCAAACCTTCTGAGAATCAGTTGCTGGAGAGAGAAAATTAAAACCATGAAAGAAGGAGGCAGTAGAAAAGTCAGATTTGAATGCCCTTTTACAAGGGATTAATTGCTAAAAATGGTTTTGATCTTCACAATTGACTTGAGTTATCTACTTCTATTCTGGAACAAATTTTTTCTTACAGGAGTTGAGTGAAACTTTTACCAACTCCCCTCAGAGAGGCATTTGAATAGGTAAGCGCTGAGATAGGTGTTTTCAGAAGTTTCTCTCCTATTTGAAAGATCTCTGATGAAAATTGAAATAAGTCTTTTCATAAGCATGAGGCTTGAGTGAATCAAAGCAGTTCTGTTTTAGTTTGTACTCAGTCAAGCCTTATGTAATGTTTTCTGCTTCCCAACAACAACAACAAATAATTATTATTTCCATAAATAATTAATATTCTAAGAGTTCTGCATACAGCTGAACACTTCATCAAGTTTGGGAATATATTTACTGACAACTGTGCTCTCAAATTCTTCCTTTTTTGTTGCAAGAGAAGAATATTCTTCAGTTCTTTTTAGTTTCTTTGAATAGCATCTTGGAGAGCTGAAAAGCTAGAATGAGTAAGAGCAAACACCACTAAAAACTATAAAGAAAGATTAAAGTCTACAAGGCAAAAGCCTTCAAAATGAAAGAGTCTAGGGTTGGGCTTGATCTTGTACGTCTTTCCCAACCATAATGATTCTATGATTCTGTGATTCTATGACATGCGACTCTTAAGAAATGGATTTGATGTCTGCTATACTTTGAAGCTTTGCATCTTACTATGCTTTTATCACAAGTCCCACTTTCTCTCCCTAGCCTTCTTGACCTACTGAAAAATACACTTTCCTTCTTTGATTTACAGTTCCCAAGCTTCCCTACAGTTGTCTCAGCTCTGTCCCTTGTCCCTTACTCACTAGTTATAGCCAGTGCACATGGGTGTTTTCTGCCTTAATGATGACTGACTGGGTGGCATATGCATTTCCTGGTTGGCCATCCTGCTGGGCTAACAGCTGACTGTCAGACTTGTATATGACCTCACGAAGAGACTGGTGTCCCCTGTATATCTTTTTTCTGATAAGCTTTCAAGCTTTATCTAAGCATAAGACCTCAACGGTCTGTTTAGCTTAATGCTTTCAAAGTCTGTCAGGGAAGAGCAAATGCAATACAATCATGTAGGCATTGATTCATTGTCAAATAGCACTAAAAAAAAAAAACAAAACTCACTGCTGTGCTGCAGAAGCCTGTTGCCTGGATTCAGCTATTTCTCAAGCATTTGCCAATGGTAGGCTGGCATCAAGGGTGGCTTTGTTAACATCTGGATTCATGCAGTGCCCTAGCAATGTTCAGCAGCTGTGTTTAAATTGCATTCGATTGCCTGCATGTCTTGCCTTCCTAGGATATTGTTCTCACCTTGAAGGAGAAGCTCTCCATACGAAGCATAGCACACTTCGCCTTAGCCCTGGAGGAACAGTATAATATTGCTAAGATCTACCTGCTGCATGATGATGAGCTCATTGAGCAGGTGAGGAGAGCCCCTCCAATGCAGTTGCACCCATGCAGGGGGTCCCAGGATGAGCTGGCCTGGTGCCCCTCCTGCTTCAGCAAGTTAGAGGGCCCAGCTTGTAGATATCACAAGAGATATGAAATGAAAAGGACTTGACTAGATGTGCTGTGAAGGAGAGGGAGCTACCAAATACCTGCGGAGGACAATGTTAGAAGTAGTGAATCCTGCTATGACACTGCAGCTAATCTACAGAGGTCCTGTCTTCTCTCTGCGTCACATACATTAAAACTGCATTAACCAGAGCTCACTGAGAAAGCAGAGCTCATTAACCAGAGCTCACTCAGCTTAGAGAGCAATACCCACAAGCTATTGATGCTCTAGCTGAGTAGTGCAACGAAGGACCAGCATTCTTTGTGCCAGCTATTAGGCTCATCTGCAGAGGAGCATTTGAGACAGCCTTAAAATAACTGTGTATCACTTCAGAAACCTGCTCAGATCTAACCTTGTGTTTGTGTCATAGCTGCTTTATTAGTGATCCTGGGCTGTTCTAGTGAGCTAGATTCCGGGCTGTGACATTGAGTCTATTTAAGGGTCTCTATGCTCTTGACTTGGTTCTGATGCACAGAGGTTCTGTAGTTAACAGCCTCCATCAGACTGTCCAAGAAGCACTACAATCCAGGAATTTCTGCTTAGTTTCTCCTGATGAGCCTGTTCTGGTTTTGCCTAAAATAAAATATGCTGACGTATTAGCATTGTATTGATATTGTGATGATGACAAAAGTGTCTGTTTTGGGCTGCTGTATCTTCTAACTGAAGTTAAAAATCAGAGATACTCTATGGCCTTGAACCCTCTGTCATGGTTACACTACAAGTACATAAGATCAATGGATACTTAATGGATTCATGGATATTTAATGAAGTTTTGGCTGCCAAAGGACTCCCTCCCTATCACAGAGAGAAAATGAAAAGAATAAAGAAAACAACATCAACAACAAAGAATAATAATAAAAAAGCATTAGCAATGCCCCCATGTGCTTGCTAATCTGCAGCCATGCCATATACTAGCGGCAGTAAATAGTCTGTATATGTTTATGAGAGGCAAAATGTGCAATTATTAAAGGGAAGAATTCATCAGTTGCTATGATACAATGCTGTTTGCGTTTGTTCATTGCAGGTGGTCCAAAAAAGAGAATCCCATGACTGCCGGTGCCTCTTCAGAGTTTGCTTCATCCCAAAGGATCCCTTAGACCTCCTGCAGGAAGACCCAGTTGCCTTTGAGTATCTTTATCTGCAGGTGACATTAATGCATCCCTTGATTCAAGAACCCTTCTTAACCAAGACTTCATGTCTGCTTTAAAGCAAGGCATAATTTATGCCACCCTTTATGTAACTCGTGATACTCATATTAGACATCTCACCTTGATTTTTCCTTGAGCTCCCATTACTGTGTTATCTCTGTTTCGTCTGTTCTAGAGCTGCAGTGATGTGCTTCAGGAAAGGTTTGCTGTGGAAATGAAATGCAGTGTGGCATTACGTCTAGCTGCCCTGCACATACAGGAAAGGATCTACACTTGTGCTCAGCCACAGAAAATGTCCTTGAAATACATTGAGTAAGTGTATTGTGACTAGGCCAGGCAAAAGAAAGAGTCAGTCAAAATGGCATTTGCTCTGCATTTTCCCATTGTCAGCACAGAGTAAGAGACTGTCCCTCACCCAAAGAGATTACAGACTCTTAGTCCTGCCAGACCTTTTAGGATAAGGAAGAACTTCTTTCCTGTGAGGGTGACAGAGCATTGGAACAGGCTGCCCAGAGAGGCTGTGGAGTCTCCTTCTCTGGAGATCTTCAAAACCCGCTTGGATGCCACCCTGTGCCACATGCTCTGGGTGTCCCTGCTGGAGCAGGGGGGTTGGTCCAGATGTTCTCTAGAGGTCCCTTCCGACCTCAGCCATTCTGGGATTCTGCCATATGACAGTTGATCAAACCTCCCTGTCTTTATCATTCCTTTAGAGCTGCTTGGATAGCATGGACAGTATATCTAATTTCTGTACAATTGTTAGGACCTGAAGTAATGATTAAAAAAAAAAAAGAGAACATGACACACATGGACTGTGCGGCAGCTACTGTCAGATCATAGTTGACTTAAGGGATAATCCTGCTTTAAGATGGGTCAGTCATTAGGTAACAGGTATTTGTTGCTGCAGTGCTGACATGACGCTCATATTTCATTCTCTGTGTGCCAAAGACAGATAGGACCATTGTGCTGACTGAGCTTACAGATTGTCTTTTGTATGAGCATGTGAAAATGAACATTCTACACAGTCCTCCATACCCATCTCCTAATCAGATGCATATACAGAGAAGAGGATTTGAGCAAGACAGTCATGTTGCATGATACTTCAGAACAATCTCCCTGCACCCTGGCACTCAGTATTTCCTAAGCCAGAGGTGGTGTCTCTGTCCTTCCCTGTCCAAGACAGTCTTCTCTTCTGCAAGTTCTGTCATGGTTCAGATGCAGCAGAGCTGGAACTGCCTTTGCTCTTTTCCTCATCTTTCTGGCAGGAAGGACTGGGGCATTGAAAACTTCATTTCACCAACTTTGCTTCGAAACATGAGAGGCAAAGATATCAAGAGGGCTATCAGCTACCACATGAAGCGGAACCAGGTCCTGCTTGATCCTCGTCAGAAGGTAGTGCACAGGATATAGCTTTGCGGTTCTTCCTAAGGTGCCAAAAGCACATTTCAGGTCCAGAGACAAGACTTCTTTCCTGTGTTGGTCTCATTTCTACATGATCATTTGTGTTTTGGTATATGTTCCTCTCCTCATTTTTCTACAACTCTTCTACAACTACCTGAAAGGAGGCTGTAGTGAGGTGGGGGTCGATCTCTTCTCCAGAATAACTACAGACAGGACAAGAGGAAATGGCCTCAAGTGTGCTAGGGGAGGTTCAGGTTACACATTAGGAAAAAAATCTACACAGAAAGAGTGATAAAGCATTGTAACTGCCCAGGGAAGTGGTGGAGTCACTGTCCCTGGCAGTGCTCAAGAAACGTGTAGATGAGGCCCTTAGGGACATGGTTTAGCAGGATGGTGTTGAGGGGCTTATGGCTGGACTGAATGATCTCAGAGGTCTTTTCCAACAAGAAGGATTCTATGATTCTGTGATTTTCCTACAGCCCCCCACCCCCTAATTTCCATGTTTAGTGGGGGAGTTTGTGAGGTTTCCAGACAGTAAATGCTATAGTGTAGGACAGTCATGTACAAATCTAGTGTGTATCTGAACTAAAATAGATCCCATATGAAAATAACCTTTCCTGATTCTTCTAGCCGACAGGATACATGGTAAACACTATGTTTCTAAACAATTTTTCTTCTTTTGCAAAACTAAGCATATGCTTGCAGCAGTCCAAGTGCGCCTGAGCTACTTACAGATACTGGGAGACCTGAAGATGTACAGTGGGAAGACCTTTAATGCCACCCTGATGGTAGGAGTGATGCTTTTCTGTCTTACTGGGTTTTCACATGCTGTCTTAATACCTGCTCTGTGTATTTCTCATGGCAGTGTACTTGGACAGTAACTGGAAGGATTAGGCACTTGAAGCAGTTTTAACCCTTTTTTCACTTATAAGTAAAGATCACTTCTTGACCAAAAGGAAACACTATGCAGAGCAGAAATGTGTACATATTGGTCTAAATTGATTGTTGATATAAAGCTAGCAACCTGTTAACTGGGTCTTCTCTCCTGTCTTTGCTGTAATGCTTGTAGAAAATGCAACATTAGCTCTGCCAATGCTGTTTCAACAAGCTCCAATCATGCTACTAGTACTTCATCTTGAGAGATGATGATAAATATTGATCATGCTCCCTGCTAGGTTAATTCTGCATAACGCTTTTAAAGTCAATAACATACCAGCTTATCCAATAATTATTTTCTAATTAAAATATGTGAATCTTATTTCTTGGATGAGTTGTCTCCATATTTTGTATGTTTTAAAGGACTTCAGAGATCTCAGGGTCTTTTAAAAACTATTAAGAAAATACATTGGCTAAACTTAAACCTTTCTGTTAAAATGAAAAATAAAATAAAATAAAATAAAATAAAATAAAATAAAATAAAATAAAATAAAATAAAATAAAATAAAACAAAATAAAATAAAATAAAATAAAATAAAATAAAATAGCAGTGCTCTTTTCATAAGAGTCTCTTGGTTTCCTACCTGTCACCACTTGCATCACACACTAGACCAGGGATTACAGGCTATCTTGTGCAGAGAGATGATCAGTGCAGCTGAGAGAGGTGCCTTGCTGTTGTTTTATATTAATTTCTATGTTTACACTTGTGCTATTTGGCAGTGTTTGTTTAATTCTGATAATAACAGAAAACACTGGCATTTTCTTAAAAAAGAGGCTGACTGTGTATTATCCTATAGTGCCTCATAGGTGTTCTCTATCTGCTGTGCTCTGAGGTGGTCACCCAGCATCAACCACCACAGACTTTTATCAGTGCCTCTTTGGCCAGGAGAAAAGAGCATATACTGGGAAAAAGAAATCAGGTGTAATATTCTGTCTTTAAATTTTGCTGAAAAGAAACCAATTGCAGTCTTGGATGCAATTTTCTGTATACTAGGCTCCTCTTTAACACAGTGTCTATCTATAGACAATGCTCACAAAGTGGCAGTTCCTTTGAGTCCTGAGAGGGGTTGCAGCCTTGATTGCTTTGGGTTGAAGGGAACGTATTAGACTTCTCTTGATCTGCAACAGCCTTTTCTGCAGGCTGTTTTAGTCTGCCTTCCTGAGCAGAGCTGAGCTCTGACCTGTTCCAGGAGGTCTTGCCAGGCTCACCTCATCTGAGATTTCAGCTGAAGTTTCATTTAACCTCTCTCCCTATAGCTACAGGACAGAGAATCATACGTTGCCTTGCTGGTTGGAGCCAAGTACGGGGTGAGCCAGATTATCAATAATAAGCTCAACATCATAACAAGTCTGGCAGAGTTTGCAAACATCAGCAGGCTGGAACTTATGGCGGAGTCTGAGAAAGTGAGCATGGTGAAAATCTACCTGCAGGATCTGAAGGTAATGGTGCTTTCACAATGGCCAGCACGCGGATCTGTCAGGGCCAGAGAACAAGGGGGAGTCAATTCTCACCATGATTTTTCAAAACGTGACGCCTTAGCTGAAAGTGTCCTTCATGATAATCACTAGGAACAGACTCAGAAGGAAAGAATTCTTGAAGAACACAAAATGGTGGAAGGAAAGTGATTCCTCCGGGTGTCCTTGATAAGCTAGATGTTTCAAAAAACAAAGATGAAACAACAATAACAACACCAAAAAAATACTCATTCTCTGTGCTTCATGCGTAATCAGAGTGTTCTGCAATGAGGGTAGTATAGGAGACAGGGAATGTCTTTTTAGCCTGCAGCACACTCCTGCAGATTGCAGCACAAATGGTGTTCGCCTTTTTTAATGTTATTGTGGTTTTCTTTCTTCCTCTCCCAATACCCAAAAAAAGCTGCTGACTCTGCTGTTGGAATCAAACAGTGCAAAAGACCTGGTCTGCCTCATCAGTGGCTATTACAGGCTGTTTGTGGATGCAAATGTCTCCATATTTACTTGGGGGGAGAAAAAACAGCAACTCCACCGTATATCAGCAGAAGAAGGTAAAAACAAAAAAAGCAAAAAAAACAAACAAACAAAAAAAAACCCCCAAACAGCCACCTTTTTGCCAAGGGACACCTCTATGCTGTTGCCTTCCAGTATGCTAGAACAGTAGCCCTGGGCATGAGGGTAGCCCTTACAGTAGCCCTTAGTCGTGAGACTGTCAGTTTTGGTATTGGCCCTACCACATTTCCATCAGCCCCAAACAAGTTGGGCAGCAACAGAAAAGCTAGCAGTGCTTCTCTTCTCTCCACAAGAAATGGAGGCTGAATCTATCACTGAAACTGCAGACCAGTAACCAAGTCCTTGTGCTGTATTTCCAGCCTTTTCAACCACCTGCCATCTGTTAGCTTCTCCAGACAGGAGACAGGGGTATCTCTTTCTCATGATGTCCTGTCCATTGTTAGGATAACTGCAACCTAGCAGATGCTAGACTGAGACTTTAGACAATAGGCTGGCTGTTTTTCTTAAGCTTTCTCTGTTAAGAGACAGGGTTCTTCGAGGGTCTGTTCAGATCAACTGAGCTGCCTAGACATGCTTCACCCTGTCAGCCTGTCTCTGTGCAGGGGCCCTAGAAGAATTTTAGGGAAACAAGACTGCTTGGTGAGACCTCTGAGCTGATCACTCGTGAGGTGCACAGGAGAACTGGAGATGCTGGGCACTACTGAGACCAAGGCTATGTTCAAAATCAGGAGACCTCAGGGATTTAGGGGCAGCCTATGAAGCAAAAATGCAGATTTTAAATACAGTATTCACCCTTTAATGCTTTTGGGCCTAGGCTTTCCTCTCCATCTCCACTCATGTAAGGGAGTTGGAATGAAGGGCATGAGAGGCACTGTCCCTCCACCTGCATGCTCTGTGCAGTAAAGCTGGACAAAGCAAGAAGAAAGGATCAAGCCGTAGCTCCCAGATATGGCCCTGCACTTGAGATATTGAGATACTGAGATATTGACTGCTGTGGAGCAAAAATGAGGGCAGAGCTCCCTGGGCCTTAAGTTTGTCTGATTGTTTGTCCTTGCTCTGCTAAGTGCAGACTCGTGTGTGTGTTTAAATTTCAGGGTATGAATCTAGAATCTGCAGTGACTCTGAAGACTCCTGGGAGCTAGATTCCTCCTCAGAGCATTGCTTGGACATTCCTGCACCACATGGCCATGCCCACCATGTGTGTGATGAGGAGGAGATGGAAGACCTCCACAGCCTAGAGCAGGACAGCATAAAGCCCCAAGCTGGAGGGGGTGCACAAAGCAACAAGTCTGACAACGCAACAGATAGCATATCAGAAGCTTCAGATTCTGCCAACACTGAGAGCCGAGGGTATAAGACAAGTGGCTCAAGTGACTCTATGGATGCACTGGAGGAAGATGAACTGGAAGCCTGCTCCTCTTCTAGGCCAGAGTTCTTCCATCTCTATAGGCCAACAGTGCATGAGATGAACAGCCCAGTCCAGAGCTTCTTCCCCACTGGTACTTCAATGGGCTCCTGCAGGACAGATGCCAGAGACTTCTGTTTCCTTCAGGCACCAGAAGCAGCTAAACCTGGGTCTGAACACAATCACTATGAGCAGAGAAGAGAGGACATGGCTGCATCTGTGCTGGAGACCAAGCTGTCTGAGAGAAATGCCATGGGCTATTACAGCCTTTGCTACAGCACATCCCCTGCTGGCAGAGCTGAGAGGAACATCGGTCACAGCCCTGGGAGAAGCTCTTGGACAGACGTGCCTGCCCAGGCGGGTGTACTCTGCAGGCCTGACCAACCGGCTGAGGTGAACGATCTCATTCTGGACCCTCCGCCGGGCTTTGGAGACACCAGCTCCGAGGATGAGTTCTACGATGCAGCGGACAGACTGAGCCCTCCAGATGCTCTAGCAGGTAAACCTCATGGGCCCCCTGCAGCTACTTTCCTGTCCTCACCTTTTCCACTTCTTATGATAGGCTTCTGCTTATTTACTGTGTCAATCATACAGAAGGGACCATTTGCTCCTTCAGATTTTCATAGATTTCCCTAGAGTTCTAGGGGCTGGAGCTTTAAACAGAGCTTCTACTGCTTACCAAGCTGGTAGTGGGTGTTCAATAAGGGTCAGAACTGCAGTTTTACAGGGGGTGTTTTCTCATGACATTCAAGCACTGGTCCCAGGAGGAAAAAAAGAGTTTAGGCTGGGAATTTCTGTTAATGTTTCTATTCAATATTAATAATCTGCCACTGTTAGACAGTGCTTTCTACAGCTTGCCACTAATAACACATTTTTCAGTTTACAAATTATAGCTGTATCTGCAGTCAGATGAAGTGACCCCAGTAAGCTATTCAAGCAAGGAGATTCATAATACTCAGTCTTTGTGGTCACAGTTCCAGACTCCTCTCTTTTTCTGATATAGCTGGTTGCAAGCACATGAATGATCGTACCGTAAGAGACACCTTCCTTTGGTACGTGGAGCCAGTCTCTGATATTGAATATGTAGGCCTATAATCAGGACTTGTGTTAAGATCTTTTGGCCGTATGCATAGATGCTTGTATGCTCTGCTTGGTGCCACTTCCTCACTCCCATACTCTGTCCCTACCTGCAGGCCATAGCCTCACATCCTGGGACAGTGTAGAAGATGCCTCTTGCATCCTAAAGAAATCAAGGTGTTACAGCTTGGCGGAAAACCTCGTGTCAAGGCAGACAACAAGGGAAAAATACAGGATGGAGAAAGATATGACTTACGCCAAGCGGAAGAGGAGATCTTTCCTAAAAACTGATTATACCTCGCAGGTCACTTTCCCATTGACGTCACCAGACTCTCAGCAGAGTTGCAGTTGGTCATTCTCATCATTCCTCCCTCAGCCTCTGGATCCAACTTCCTCAGAGAACATCAAGATGGACACAGAAGTGGGAGCTCAAACTAATACAGAGGCCCAGAGAAACACTGCAAGCAAAAACCCATCGGCTGACTTGATGGAAATGGAACCTGACACTCTGGAAACAAAATCAGTGACTGACTTGTTTTTTCCTTTGATTTCAGCTATTCGCCTACAGGTTGACCAGAATGGGGAAGAGAACTCAGACACTGCTGGATGTGTGGATGATGGCCTCAATCCTGCAAGTGCTGTACATGCACCTTTCCAACTGTGGGAGGAAACTGTGCACCTTCCCAGAGAACAAAGCAGAAGTCCTACAAAAGATCCCAACATTGAGTTAAAAACTGGGTGGCAAAGTGAGAAAAGTTGTGAAGCCAGCAGAGAGCCAGTTGAAATGATGGAAGCCCACTGCGAGGTCAACAGTGAAGCTGAATTTCAAAGCCAGGAAATGATATGCCCCTCTGCCACTTCTTCCTGTGGTATGACCTCAGAATTAAATCTCCTTCCCGCAGCAGGGCAAGAAGAAGGACGTGGAGAGCTTATTCTTGCTCCCTATGAAGAAAGAAAAGGTGATTTTGTCAGGTCTGCTGAAAAACAGAGTGACATAGGTTTGTCTCAGGTGAAAAGCAGAAAGGCAGTAGGTGAGGAAGCCTTTTGGAAAGCGCACAGCAAAAGTCATGTGGGCTTTCCAAATGTCACCCAACTGTTAAAAGACTGCAGTGGCACTTCAGGCATCGTAACTCGCATCTCCTGCCTCTCATTTGAGGTGAGAACAGACCTCACATCGCCAAACTCAACTAATGAGGGGAGGAGCAACCTACTTGGGCTTTTGGACTCTTCAGAGAGAGCTCACATGACCAGTGGATACTGTGGGGCTGATACTGTGAGAATGGAGACACAAACACCCTCAGCAGTACCAGCCTTTGAAAAAGAAGTGGTGAGCCGTCAGGGCCCAGATGAAGGAAAGCTCAGAAAAGATAGGGAAAATGTGTATAATGGGCAGTCTGAGCATAGTCAGACTCCTATTCACAAAGAAGAAGCTACAGTACTTGAGAAAGACTATCCCTTAATTCCATCCCTGGGGCTTTCCTTTCCCTCCAGTCTAGTTCCTTTGGGCTCTCTGGGGAAGACCACCCCAGTGACATGACCAGATCTCTGGGTCCTTCCACCATGAAGAACACATTTCCACCACAGCTTGGGATGGACAAGTGCAGCTGTCAGTTGTCCTATGTAAGCTGCTTCCGTTGGCCTGAAGAAGAGGGGGAACATGAAAACACTACCCCTACACACAGCGTGTCTTCGAGTCCCCTCACCACTCCACCATCCACCATCCACAATCTTCCTGGCACCCCTATGGACAGTCACACAGATGTTACTGCTAGCGACAGGGCATGGCTGGACCCTCACATCCAAGCCCTGACCAAGTTGAAGGAACAAGCGCAGATGAGCCCTGCAGATTTCTCCTGCTTCCTTGCCTACATTGCAGAACTTCAGGAGGTTGTGGGAAAGCTCTCTGGCAACAAATCAACACACCTGCAAGACACATGTGCAGACCACAGCTCTAAGAGAAAGGGTGTGCTTCAATCAGCCTCCCAGGACCTGCTGTCCAATTGCCAGGAGCTCCTGAAAACAGAGCGACCCCTTAAGGAGGTGCACGATGCATTGAGAGTGACATTTGATGACCTGGTCCGGTTGACAGTGGCCTGCTTTCAGGTGACACACTGCCAGCTGTGCACGCACAGGCAGAGTGAGCTTGTGGCCGTACTCACAGATGTGGTAGACACCTACCACCACTTGGTTCAGCTTGTTCACCAGCTGCTTCGTGGGCAGGGTTGCCCAGCTGTGAGTGCCAAGCTCCTTGCCTGCCAACACACAGCCCTTACAGCCTCAGTGCTTTGTCTCATGCAGCAGTTTGGGGTGCCCTCCTCTTTGTGATAAGGCTTCTTTAGGCATACAGAGGTGCTGATTAAGAAACCCGACTGTATTTCCTGCTGTCTGTCAGCAGGGTGCGCAGTCATTCAACTCAAAGAATGGTCATGGATTGGTTTGTCCATGCTTCCCTGCTCACCACCAGTGAACAGCAGCCCCGTCCAAGGGTGGTCCTGGGGAAAGGCCCATCCCCACTCCAATCAAGCTTCTTTAAATTCTGCAAAGACAATCTCAGGCTAATTTGCAAACTCACAGAGTTCCTCAGGGGCTTGGGCTTATGTATCTTGTCAGGGGCTTGTCCTTCATATCCTGAACACCTTGCAGATAGCTAGTCTCAGGGTGCTGCTTTAGCTTCCTTTTGTCATCTGTGGAGAAGGACAGGAGCCCTTTGCAGCTGGCCTGTCTGCCTCTCACTTCTTACTGACTACCAAAGAATATAGGAGACCAGGCAGACTCTTCATGTGAAGAGTCCTCCCTGGCCCTGGTCTGATGCAGAAGGACCCAAACTGCTTTAGCCACCATCTGTGATTAAAGGAATGGTAAAAGAATAGCAAAAAAAAAAGAAAAAAAAGACACTCTGTAAATAATCTATTCTGTATTTAATTGCTTCTTCTTGCAAGGCAAGAAAAAGAGGGTTATCCATAACAATATGTGCCTTCCACTGATGCTTAAAAAAGTCCCAGTCTAAACCCACACCCCTTAGCTACCTATGGATCCCTGTCTTCCAAAAAAAGGAAAAAGTGATCCAGAACTCTGAAGTATTGCTCTCGCAGTGTTAGAGAACAAATGACCCTTTATGCCTACTAGACCAGGAGAAAGTAAGCCATTCCCCAGCCTTCTTATTAATTGTTCTTCTTCTCTTACGTTCTATATACCCAGCTAGATGTGAGCAGTTTTAAATGTCTTCCAGCTGTGCATCTTTAGTGGGATCAGCATGACTTCCATCACTGGAAGGCACTACCTCAGCTTTCCAGCGCTGAAGAGGACAGAGGCAGGTACTCAACTGTTGGTGTTTAACTCAAGGCCTTGTGTAGCTGCTTCTATTCCTTGAGATATGCAGGCAGCAGACCGGAAGTTGACACTGCTGTCTGTTGGTCCACCCAGCTGAGAGTCTGTGTTCAAGACAGAGGAGCCTGCACGAGGCAGCAGAGAGACAACTGAAGGACCTTCAGATGAGTCAAGCAGATAGGCCTTTACAAGAGAGGTGGCTAGCTCTGCAACAAGCCACTCCTTCCAAAGCAGCAGGACAACATGTACATGATATGTGCCCATGATATTCCTAACAGATGTTCTATGACATCAAACAGAGGCCAGCCTTACTTTTGCCTTGTATTTTAATAATGTCTTTGTGGGAGAAAGGTTGAGACCTTTCAGTAGGCACTAGACAAGCAGCTGGGAGGGAAGGAACTGGTCTGAAGGAAGGTTGGGGTGCTGTGGGAGCTCTGAAGGAGCTACCTAACCTAAAAGAAGCCAGCAGCCAGGCAAGCACTCTCACATGGGAACTCAGCAGCACTTGGAAGCACTACACCAAAGCCACAGCAGCCACCAATCTTGGCATCCTAGCAGGCACCCAGGTAGTTAACCAAAGGCACTCTGGTAGCATAGGGACAGGATGGCCATGATGTCCTCAGCTACTGGGGAGGGCAGCACTCTTCAAACTGCACATCCCAAACAGGATTTCAGGGCAGTTCATCACTGCCACCTGGTTTGAGTAATTGTATGCTGCTTCCTAGCAAACTCAGGGTCAGTGTATCCACAAATAGCCAACATGTTTTGTCTGTCTCATTCAAAGCATTGTAAAAATGAGAGAGGAATTTACCTCAGAAGACCTTCAGCTGCTTCCAGTGATGGCTAGTCACTCACTTTGATTTTAGGTACTTATTTGCAACAATTGCTGAAGGAAAATTTCCAGTTGGATGCAGAATAAACATCTGAATGCTTCCTACTTTGGTCCTGAAATATGTCAGTGCTCTTCAGGCAGAGCACAGTCAAATCCTAGTTGTCTTGCTTTCCAGGAGGAATACGAGAGCTGCTGAACTTCTCAAGCACCACACATTGATAATTATCAGGCTGCAAGTAGAGATCTTGAAAAGTAAAAAATTTATTGTAGATTGTATGCAAAATGCACAAAATTCGTTATGGAATTCAGCAGCTCAGAGTCTTTTAGCTGGCTTAAGGAAAATGGGACATGGTACTTCTAGACATTGTTACCTCTTTAGTCTAGAAATCACTTCCCATCCTGTGATCTCCAACAGTACTAACTGTTTTGATGAGAAAGATGATTTCCTTATCAGTTGATGATTTTCTTTAATATCTTTAACCCTGCTGCGGTGTAATTTCTCACTCTTCACAAGCTTCTTATCCCAGAGTTCAGCTGATTTCTATTTTCTGTATACACATTCATGGTGGTATCTCTGCTTGAAATATGGAGTTTGCTTCCCTTGTTTGTCATAACTCCTTAACATCAGAAAATAAAGAATTTGCTTGTGCTTTGCCATGTAGTTTTACTTAATTCATTGCATTTGGGAGCACATAGCCTTTTCCTGAAGAAACTCCAGCTTTCAAAGCTGCTGGCCAACTTTGGGTTTTGTAGAAAGTTGATAAGACGTCAAAGACTGTTAATAACAGAGAGACAGACAAGACTGTGATACTGATATCAATGCCAAGCTGTCATACATACCCCACTGTCTGCAAACATCAGGAATATACAAAAACTGATGCCCCAAATGGCTAGCATATATCTTCTGTTTTCTTTCATTTAAAATCTGATGAGCAATGATTGAGAACAAATAATATACATACTTCACAAGTTACTTTTGAAGGTTCTGACCAGGAAAAGCAAAAGTTGTGTCAGCCAAGGCAAGACAGCTATTATGGGTTATCCCAAATAATCTTTTCAGCTATCCTGTATTTCCCAAGTTGTGTTTGTGTTGCAGATGACAGTACTGCTCACCCCAGTAGGTTTTCAAATCATCTATCTTCAGTGATTCCACCAGGGCCTCTTAGCTGCTGTGCCTCCACATCAGGGCTTCTTCTGAATGCACTATGCTATTTAGAAGCTAGGCTTGGTGCTCCACAGAGCCTTCAGCCATCCCATCAACCCTTGTGGTGAAGGTGACAGGTAACAGGGAAAAACTCCTCCAGATGGAAGTCAGAATTTGCTAGAGCTTGCCCAGGGCCTCAGCTTCTCATCAATACCTGGCATACAATGGTTGCAAAGCCACAAACCGCCACCCTTCCAAAGGTGGAAAAGCAAAAGGCACGTCCATTAATGTGACCAGATAGCACACGAACCATTAAAATGGGGGCAGAAAGGAAAAAGCCTATCAGGAAAAAACTCTGCACAGGACTTTCCACCATCAGTCAGCACCGTAGCTCCATTTAGGAAATGGACCTATTTAAGGACTTCAGAGGCCCCCCCTTATCTCCAGTGCAGACATCTGCCTACACACACGAACCCCATGCAAGTGACAGGAAACAGCACAGCCCCTCACCTTGATTGATTGCAAGTGTCTCTGAATGGTAGTTCTTGGTGTTGATGGTTTTCACCATGTACTCACGAATTGGGAGGCGGGCTGTTTGCAAAGACTCATCTCGAGCCTTTTGCAAGGTCAGTCTCTGCAAGGGAAACAAGAACAAAACACTTAGTGTGCAAAGACCTATACCCCTATAGCATGTACTCTGGCTTGCATATAGGCAGCTATAAAGCAGGGATCCTGGGGTTCATCGCGTCCAGACTGCTCTTTCACACTGGTGCTGAATCAAGGCAGGACCTTGCAGTGCTGTGGAAAGAATGAATGATGGCACAGAAGGAACATACCAGATTGAGGCAGCAGAAGCACAGGATGCTACCATAGCAGTATCTGATCCCTCATTGAAAACAGAACAGATAGCACCTTCATTACCCACCTTATGAATACTTTCATCCACCAGTCCTCCAAGGATATACACTTTTTTTGGATCAATGTCTTCAAGAACTAGAAAGGAAATAAGCACACGCTCATTAGCATTCACCTGTACAAAACTCACTTTGCACCTTCTCCAAGCGAGGCCATGGTTACCTTAAAGAGTGGTGGCCAAAGTCACTCCCTGCTCTAGAGCTTCTGAATATAAAGTCGACTGAGCCCCTAAAAGCAGAACCGTCTGCCTTCACCTTCAGGCAGCCTGAAAAGGGGTTATCAGATATAGGCTGAAGGAGCACAGTGCAGTTTTATAGGCTTCACACTGGTCATTTTTTCAATGTTTTCTGTTCTGACATGCAGATTATCTGGTTAGTCCAATCTCCGCAGACAGACTGCTCTGCAGATGCCTCCCCTCTAATCACATGGCTATATTACCTCCCTTAGCAGAGCTAGACTTTTCCCGTAAAATGAGTCTGTGTCTGCAGAAGCATGTCACCAATTAGACATGAAGGAAGAAGAGAAAATAAATACAGCAAATTAAGCAATAAAGAGGATGTTAAACTGCTGCATTTTTTTTCAAAGAATAATTTAAATTTCAACCAAAACTCAAACACCACAGCACATCCACTTCATCGACAGAAGTATTACAAACTGCAGGACTGTACAAATAGGTTTCAAATTTAGTTATCTGCAAATCACACACAGCCTTAACTCAAAATTGCATTCCCTTCCAAGGCAGTTTAAGATCAGGGTAAACTGACCACCAGATCAGTGGTCAGTTGCATAAGTGTTATCTCATGTAATCTGAGACACCAAATGCTTTGAAATGAATCACCAGAAGTACAAGATAGACTTAAAAAATAATTTCTAAACAGCTGGAATTCAGTCTTTTACCATTGTGCGCCTGTGCTTCCTTCAAGCAAAATATTTACCATTCTCGGAGTCCGGAGTGAGATAAATAATAGCATCTATAGGAAACAGGTTAAGGTAACTTTCTGGAGTTATATCCATCTGGAAAAAAAAAAAAAGCAAGATGGAGAGGAAAGAAACCCATTAGCCCAAAGTCCATCTGCCTGAGGCAGAATCCAACCTCAGATAGAGAAGTTTATTGAAACTGATGGCACTGCCTTTGGTGTTTACACAGCTGCAGATAGCACTTTAAAAAAAAAAACTCAAAAATGTGTATGTGGTCTCAATAAAAAAAAATTATTCTCAAGACCTGTTATACCCTCTCCTAATCAAAACCCTTAGACATGGCTTAAGGAGGGGACATCAGCAATAATTAACTAATCCTAAATGAAATTCGAATTTCACATAACTTCTGTGTGCAGACTACATACTTGAGCCCCACTAAACTCAGTATAAGACTCTAGGACAGGAATACACGACTTGTCCCAAAACTGTACAGTCTGGTGTGCCTGCCTATAGTAAGTCCACATACCTCTTTATGGAAGTAGCATCTGGGATGAACTCTCCTCCTGCAGGCAGGAGGGACCACAAGCTCTAACCCTGAAGGTCTGGCACATTTATGACCACTTCTCTCAGTCCTTTCATCTCCTGCCCAAAGAGCAAGACGATCTGCCTTTATCTACTACCAACAAACCGTACCTCTACCCCATTTGCAGCTCTCACACTCATGGCCGATCTTGCTGCTAGGACCAGCACCTGCTATCTGGCCGAATGCCGATGGCAGGCTAGACATTCAGCTTGTACCAGATCAGCATTGAGGCCAGCACTGCAGCTGAAGTTGTTACAAGGCACAGACCTGAGCCACCGGCAGAGGGAGGCATTCCTCCTAGGCCTTGGCAATACTGCGGTCAGAAACTCTTACCAAATAATTGCAGAAGCCATCGTTCATGCGGATGCACTCCTTGTAAATCGAAGAGCCCACCACAAACTCAGTGAGATACAGCCAGAATGGTTTTTCCGCTCTCCTGTTGGCCCCATAGAGTCTTCTGATCTGCGCAGCAAGGCGGCTCGTTTCCTGCCACGAAAGAAGAAGCATAGTTACACAGCATGTCCACAGCTAATCCATCACCTTCAGGGAAAGCCATGCTTTCACGGAACATGGCAGCCCAAAGAGGGAAACTTAAAGACCTGATAGCAGCAAGTAGGCCCTGTGGCCAAGGGAGAGGCAAATCCTCAAGATGGCCAGTGTCTCCCAAGAACCTAAACTCAGGAGACGTCAGAGAGCTGCTCTATGTGTTCTGTGTGTTTCTGTGAGAGCACACACCCTCACATGTCCCAAGTCTAGTCTGATGGATGGCTTATTAAATCTCCATAAGCATATTTAAAAAACAAGCTAGCCCCCAAAACCTATGATGATATGTCATCTGCGTCCCTGAGTCTCACGGTCACAAAGCTGGACTGTACTTACAGGCTGCAGATGGGCTGTACTTACAGGGGGTGGTAAGCAGAGCCCTTTTACCTTCTTTGTCATGTGGTCAGCCATGCTGAGGTCCACGCAGAGCCGGGGACCAGACTCCCTGGCTTCCAGGAGGCGTTCTTTTGTGAGGGCTTTCAGAACTCTTTTGCTAGGCTGTCCTGCGGTGCCTGCAATGCAGAGCAGGAGAAAAGCAGCCTGCACTTTGGCTTGGTGAACCTGCCCCATCGGTATGCACAAGAAAGCATGCTGCTGTCCTCATGCAAGTGATTCCTGCTCCCTCCTGTATGATCCTTCCTCGCTGGATGCCATCATACTCCACGTTTGCTGGATGGCTCCCTCTTACCTCCGCCTTCAGCCTGCCGTGCTCTCCTTCTCTCTCTTTCCTGCGTTCTCTTTTTCTTCTTCGCCACGAGGACTTTCTCCCAGTGTTTCTGTTTCCGGAGGACGTTCCGCTGTTAGCAAAGGAGAGAGCAAAGAGATTTGCCCGGCCTCAGGACCTCCAGCAGCAGAGACGGGAGCCCTGGGGCACCGCGGGGGCTGCAGCGCGTGCGGCCGGGGATGCCTTGCCAGGAAGGGCAGCCTGCAGTCAGATGGCTCTGGCACCTAACGAGGAGCAAAGGGCGCCCTCAAAGCACCTC